AAGGGGTACTTTGTTACATGGAGATCACGACAACACTTAGAATGTCACATTCAGGACATCTGCTGGTCTTATACCAACCGTACAAGCCAGTTACCATGAACACTCTGTCTAGATGGGTTCATTGGTTGTTATCGCTAGCGAGGGTGGAGACGTGTTTGGGTACTCATTCGGTAAGAGGCGCAGCTGCTTCTCAGGCCTTCACGAGGGGGCCTCTATATTTTCAGCGACGAATTGGACACGGATAGACTACTTCCGTATATTTATTTTCGTCAACCACACACGCATCCTTCTCGCTCATACCACAGCTTTAAAAATGCAAAATATGAAGCCTCCTGTCATGTGATAAAATTGTAGATTATGCTAACGTAGTGTACCTATAATCTTAATTTTAATAATGACAGGAGGCGAGTATTTTCCCTCCCTGTTTCCCTCCCTATACTCTGGAAATTTTTTATATTTTGGTTTGTCATTTTCTCAGTGTAAATTATAAGGTTTGGTAATTCAGTATATTTATGGGATGCTTATTTGGTTGATATGTGTTAGATCCGTGTTGATTATTAAGTATACTATGGTTTGTTTAATGTTTCAGTATATTAACTTAATATAAATATAGACACATATAGTACTGGATTTAATGTGGACAACAGTTGGTTTCCATCACCTTTCACGTATTTCTGTTCTTTTCAGCGTAATCATCATAGATGGATTCGACAAGATAAAGCTGGAAGGTTTCAAGTTATGTTCTACACGTTACTCAGGACTGTTATTTGAATTCCCTGACGTTATAATAGACTGTTTTTCGCATCAAAGAAAGAGGAAGTCATGTGACTGTCAGGGCTTTATATATGAATGTGATGCCTGTTACTGATTGGTTTAAAGTTTATTGATTGACTTGTGCTGCTGGAGGCATAAAGTAAAGAAAGTTATGCAAAATACTCGCCTCCTGTCATTATTAAAATTAAGATTATAGGTACACTACGTTAGCATAATCTACAATTATCTGCAAATTAAAGGCTTCATAGCAGAATACCTCCTTTAAAACAAGGAGAAAAATATAAATCTTATACAGTTACTTGAACTAAAGAATTATAAAAATCTGTTGGCAAAATGCGCCAAGGTTATATATAGTTGGAGACACGACCAACCGATAGAACTGATTAATAAATGGGAAAAATAATTGAAAGTACATATACCAGAAGAAAAGTGGATAGGTTCCCTAAACAAATTATATAAATATATACATTGCCTAAACCTTACTGAAACACAATTCAAACTCTCAAACAGATGGTACTTAACACCTAAACGTTTAAAGAAAATTTTCCCAGAGTCATCAAATAGATGCTGGAAAAGCAAAGTTAATTAAGTTAATTTGATCCATGTATAGTGGCAATGCACACCAATAAATACATTTTGGAAAGATGTAATCAATGTAATATATAAAATAACAGAAATGAAATTAGTTTTAAAACCTGAAGTGGTCCTGTTAAACCTGAACTGGACAAAAATGACGCTACATATTATCATGGCAGCTAAATTACTTTTAGCACGAAACTGGAAAACAGGGACAATTCCATGCACCCAAGAACTAATCACACAAGTCATATGGCAGGCAAAAATGGAAAGGGGTATCTTTGTGAACCTAGGAAACAGATATACTCAAATAGAAGACTGGGATACATGGATAAACAAAATGGAAATGTCTACCTAATAAACAGCACTATAGTGTCAAAGTTTCTTTTGAGACCCCCCTCCTTCCCTGATTCCTTTTTTATTTACTTTAAAAAAATATATATATATTATTATTATTATTTATTATTATTATTATTTTTTTTTTTTTCTCCTCTCTGAATATAGTGTGTAATAATCAACGGGTGCATAGTTCACATCCAACTACAGAGAGGGGAGGGGACAGGTAGAGGAGATGAAGAAACGAGATGAACATATAGAACTTCCCAAAATAGGCAGATAAACAGAATAAAAATTATTTGTAATATAGAGGATGTAAGATGAGCTCTCTCTCTCCAAAGCAAGCAGGGAAACCAAAACGGATTGACAGGAATTCACAATAGGATTTATTTATTAGGGTAGGCGCAGGGGGATCGGGGTGGAACACGGGCAGTTTAACATAAAAACACAGAAACACTTAATACATTTTAGGAGATATTTATGATGATAAGAGTGCCAAGCCTGAACCACAGAAGCATCAGCAAAAATAATACCAAGCAAGCACGACTGAAATATAAAAAAAAAAAGCACACATGATGCTTTAATACATTGTGTGATCTGCTTTGGAACGCACAGGGGCTACAGAGTAATATGGCCAATACAGTTTAGCTGGAATTAAGTAGGTGTGGCTCCTTCACCCTGGTTCTAGTAGATAGGCAAGAAGAAAATGAAAGCCAGACTATCCTTGACTTGCAGATTTTCCAGGGTTCTATACTGTACTTGGTACGTTGCAAAGGTTATGGGCCTGAAGAAGATTTTTGGTTGCCAGCTAAAAATGTTCATGCTCCCAGGACTGATTTTTCTTTCCATGCCAGGTTCTTGACTCACCTGGTGGATCCCTGGTGGGCGGTCCAGGAAGGGAGTACTGTCACGAATCCTCCTCCAACGGGACACCCTTGCGTCCCTCAAATTACTAGTGTAATACATCGTGCACAACTGGACTTTGGACTGTTCATCTAATTTAGCCATTCTGCATTTATATTCCATTTATGTGCTATTGTTCAATACCTCCTGGCTGTTATTATTGCTGTATTTGTGATAATAAATACCTGTGTTTTGGGTATGTTGCTTATAAACTTTGAGCACTATTAGAGCTGAACAATATGGATTTTTATGATTATTATTATATTTATTATTTAAGTACTTATTTATTAATTGGGTGCATCTTTCTTAATCCTATTTTACCAGTATCTTGGATTAGCCGTCCTCTTTTTGAAGGGTTAGAGTGAGATAGGTATGGCTCTTAACCCCCTCTTACACCTTGTGTGAGTCTTAAACCCCCCTCCCCCTTACCTCTTGTGTGCCTCTTAAATGGAGGAGGTGTGGCAAAACTAGCCATTTAAGACCGTATCTGCATTAATATGATGATGTAGCTTTAAAGCTGTTAGAACCAAATGTATACCTGTACCTGTATTTCATGCGTATGCCTGTGCCTATATTTTATGCGAACAAGAGCATTCGTATGCTGGCGGCATGAAAGCCACCAGCATTCATGCAGTAGTTTCACGAACAGTGAATTTCAACACTGTTCGTGAAATGAATAAACTACCGAATGGGAGACCACACACAGGAAGTCGTGTGGCTCCCATTAAACATTGCAACATTGTATCTTTCGGTAGTTATTAGAGATTCAGGGTGGCCGCCGTTCGGATACCGACCACACGGCGGTCGGCCATCTTGGATCTTTTGTTAGCCCAGAGTTATATTGTTGTCGAGTGCCTGGAACTAAAAACGGCTACTTGACGGCACGAATACCGCTGGACTTCCAGGCCGTTCGGATGGAAATATAATTCATGCGGCGTTCGGCTGGATGTTCTGGGATCTGAGCGGTACTTTCACGAAATGTGCGCTCAGACCCCAGCTATCTACCGAACGGTCATTCGGTAATATAGCATGAATAATGTTAAAGTTGTATATTTTTATGTGAAAAACAAGTTCTGCTGCACTGAGGGATAATCCACTTAACAGGATATTCTAGTGGGAGTATCACTCTCGTGCAGCAGTGCATGGTGGGAGAAATATCTTGGTTGTGAAGTTCCCCATGTAGTCCCCTACTGTACAACCCCTGTAAAGTCACTAGGGAAACCTAAATAAATAATGTGACCTGTGACCTGTGATTAAAAACTCAGTTGTCTCCCAGCCTATGTGTCGTCTAGTTCTTGGGAAGGAAGGATTTATTTAACGCTACCGGGATTATTGTATGCTGTACTTATTTTGCCTGGATTATTGTAAACTGTTCCTGTTTACCAGCGGAGATATTGTGGATGATACTACCTCTTCGCTACAGGAGGTCTGTTGTGGATCCAAATAATGATCTTTGTTATATTCAGAGGAAGGCCAAATTATTATTACAAGTGCACTTGGAGAAGCGAGAATTAGACACCAGACACCTGTTGGTATTCAAAATAAGTCTCTGGCATTTTATTCATCAGCTGGGTTTTATACATTAAAAAGTAAGTGCCTGTGTGCAAATACTCATAGAACAGTAATAGGAAGGGAGTACAGATAAGACATAGGGATGAACGTCATGTACACATAACAAATAAGTGCCAAGGTGAGAAAAAACAAAAAGATTAGAGAAGAGACATTTCAGGTGGGGGCTCTCTGCTCCCGGAACTAGACATATATGGTCTTAAGTGTTGTGTTAAGCATCAAGCATTTCCTGAGTCCAAGTTAGCCAATTTTAATATAGGATATCATTAAATGACACCTATAAGCTTGAGCCTTGGAATCAAGATAAATTCTATCACAATCCCCTCTTTTGATCCAAGGGTCACCCAAATGTCCAAGGTATTTCCAGGCCTGCTAGCCAAAGCCTGTGGGACTTTCATTTATTGCTTCACCACGGTTCCCTTGGACTGAGAGACCACCAGAATCAGCAGAGGAGAGTTCCTTCATTTGTTAGGAGAGGTAACATCATAAAACCCTTCCAAAGTCGGAGCTGGAATGTAAGTTAAGGTACAACCAACAGTATGTTTGTTTTTACATAGAGAGGTTAGTAGACATAAGAAAAATCTAAAGGTTAGAAAAATGGACATAATAACAAATATAGCTAATAGCAAAAAGTACAACATTTTACAAGTCAATGGCTGCTCTATTCTCAAGGATTGCCTTCTTATTTGCCTGGTTTTCCATAAGTAGTTCTTCTAAGGCCTGTGAAGTGGCATTTAACCCCTTTGCAAGGGAACAGAGAGATGAACTTGAATTGCTGCTTGCTCGGCAGCTTCGTCTGCTTTGTGGTTTTCTCTTGAGATCTCATCTGTGATCTTCACGTGAGCTGCCACCTTGATGATGCCTACTTGAGTGGGTAGCAGGATAGCGTCCATAAGTGCACTCATGGCTTCAGAGTTCTTGATTGGAGTTCCTGCTGAGGTGATAAGATCACGAGCCCGCCATATAGGGCCAAAATCATGGGCTATACCAAAAGCATAGAGAGAGTCTGTATAAATATTAGCAGTCTTACCAGAAGCCATTTTACACGCTTCAGTGAGTGCCTTCAGCTCTGCCTCCTGTGCAGAGCAGTGAGGAGCAAGTGGTTCAGCTTTTATTACCTCATGTGCAGAGACTACAGCATATCCAGTGTGGAAATTACCGTTCTCATCAGCATATCTGGAACCATCTACAAAAAACTCAAAATCTGCATTAGATAATGGAGAATCAATTACATGCAAAAAAAATGTTGTTTCTTGTGCCATTAGTGCTGCACAATCATGGGGTACCTGGGCGTCAGCTAACTCATCTGGTGAAAGTGAATTTACAAAAAGATCAGATGTACAAATACCATTCCCACTATCCCCACTCCCCTCTTCTAAATCCAGGGGAAGTAATGTAGCTGGATTTAACACCATACACCTTTTCAGAGTAACATTAGGTGGCATAAGCAAGGCACATTGTCAATATCAGTGGCATTGTCCAGGAGGGCAGTAACAGCCCCACTGCCCTAACACATGAGGAGACACTCCTGGCAACAGGGTCCAAACTGGTGTTGTTTACCATCATGGTCCTGTGTAAGGACAGATGTAGCATTTTCTGCTGCATGGGTTAATTTAAAGGGTTTGTTTTTGTTGGCGAGACAATCGTACAGGGGCTGCATGTAGATTGCTGTAGAAGCCAAGGTCGGCAGTATGAATTGTAGCTGGGCTAGGCTGCGGGGGCGGGGGAGGGGGGGTGTAATAGTTTGAATTGCAGTCTGCCTCTGCCAGTAAGGAAAGAGTGTTTACAATACAAGTCTCCATATTATCGCAACATAGGATTAGGTCCTCGATATACTGCAATAAAATTACACTATTTGGCCTTTGCCACTCTTCAAGAATCAGTGCCATAGCCATGCTGTACATAGTGGGTGAGTTTTGTGGGCCCTGTGGCAATACTGTCCAAGTGTACTGCTTGCGTTAATGTGTACATGCAAATAAATACTGACTGTTGGGATCCAGGGGGACACTGAAAAATGCGTTTGCCAAGTCAATAACAGTAAATACCTTAGAGGTAGCTGGTATCTGTGCCAACAAGGTGTGTGGGTTGGGAACATTAGGGACAATGAGTTCAGTTACAGCATTAATTGCCCTCAAATCATGTACCATACGCTAGACCACAGGTTTCCCTTTCTCTTGCTTTTTCTTAATTGGGTACAATGGTGTGTTACAAGGTGAGGTGGACTGGACAATTACCCCTGCAAACAGAAACTCTTGCACAGATTGTCAAATAGCATCTTCCTGTGCTGGGCTTAGGGGGTATTGTTTTTGATAGGGAGGTTTGGCTCCGGGCAGGAGATTCACTTTGACTGTGGGCACAGAGAGTTTGCCTGTATCTGTCTTCCCTGTAGCCCATAAGGAATCAGGGATTGAGGAAAAGTCAATGGTAGGTTCTGGCACATGGCTGGGCATAGTGAGAGTTGCCAGAGCATTTGAAACAGATATCATTTGTTTGTCCTCCAAAGGCACAGACAATGTTACTTTTCCAGTGGGGCTATACTGGATATTTGCACTAAGAGCAGACAGTATATCACTGCCTAGTAGATTAGCAGGGGCATCAGTATATGTAGCAATTATTCTAGCCCAAATTGGATACCTGAGCTCGGCTGTCTCTTCTCATGGTATACGCTCTAAACTTTGGGTATCATGGGAGTAGTAAATTGTGGAGCTAATGGCCCCACTGGGGTGTCTATGGGGACAACTAGGGGTTTCCTTAAGTCTGGTGGACTACCCTCCTTCTTGCCCATTCTGGGACCCTAGAGGTCCAAAACATTGATAATATGGTACACCTTTTCTGGTGGTTTCTCTACAACCACATTTAGTTAATTCAACAGCAGTATCATGCCATTTTTGGGCAACTTCTACTAAGTCATTATCTTCTAACCAACCTCTGTAATTTGCCATAAATTCACTCCATATATGTGGGTCTAGAGTGCCCTCTGAGGGCATGCCAGCTTTCTTAAGTAACCTCTTAACATTCTTAATTGCTCCTTGTCCTTTGTGATGCTTGACAATAGTCAAAGCCGTAAATCCCCCTTGAGTGCTTTCAGAGCTACCATCTTAAAACTTGTAAGGGTTAATTACTACCTTACACAAGACAAACTGTACCAAAACAGTGTATTTAAAACACGTAGGACCGCTGCAGTGGAATTTTCACAGTCTTGTCTCCGTTATTCTAAACACAGATCAGGAGATCTGCCCTTGGAGGATTCTAACTCAAATTATAAAACAAATGACAAGGCAAAGAATAAAAATAACTTAAAACCCACAATAATATTCCACTATCTCAAGATTCCTTTCACAAGACATAACACAACATCCACCTGAATATAACCATAATACCACAGAAAACAAGTTCTTTAGATCAGATGTTTTTGAAATCCTTACCCACCTGGACAGGGGTCTCAAAGAGCACCAGAGAGTCAAAATCATTTATAGGTAGAAAAATAAAAGCTTTTTCTTACCTGCTGCAGCTGATTAACCAAAATATAAAAGGAGGGCTGCGCCAGAATAAACATTGTCCAGTATCAATAGTTATTGAAGATAAAAAGTCCGACCTAAAAAGGTATCCTCTCTGTCGTCTTTAGGTACAGGAACGCGATCTTCAGGTAATATATAAAAGATAAAAGGAGTGAACAAACGATGGTGCAGAATGTACGGTTCAAATGAAGTAAAAATTGATTGATAACGAACTCACAATTTCCAGAGCTTCTGTCCAGCTCTAGGGTAAAGCGCACACAGCGGTATAATCCCCGCTTATGGGATTTATGATGGGTTCGTCAGGGTATCCAAAACTCAAAGGAAAGAGAAACAGCCAAATAGTGCTCTCTGTATAACTGTATATTGTAAAAGAGAATAAAAAAACGTACTTACAAGTACAGAGCAGACCAACTGCTCTTTGATGTCAGCGCTGGTGGAATAATCCCCACCTATGGATTTCTTTGGTTGTCAGGAACTTGTAGAGATAGTATTAAAATCAGAATAGAGTGTATATAAAATATAACAATGAACTAAAAAGATAAATAGCCAGGGTACATGTATAAATAAAAGTAGTTGGGACTATCAGTTAACCAAAAACTTTAATATTTATTATACAAAATTAAATTTCCATAACACGTTTCGTCTAACAGACTTTATCAAATGGAATGTAATACAAAACCTGGCAGACCTGAGCCAACCCTTCTGGGTCCGGATGAACTGGATTCGTCTGATCCCGGGTTTCGGCACCAAATTTTTGAGGATCCAAATAATGATCTTTGTTATATTCAGAGGAAGCCCAAATTATTATTACAAGTGCACTTGGAGAAGCGAGAATTAGACACCAGACACCTGTTGGTATTCAAAATAAGTCTCTGGCATTTTATTCATCAGCTGGGTTTTATACATTAAAAAAGTAAGTGCCTGTGTGCAAATACTCATAGAACAGTAATAGGAAGGGAGTACAGATAAGACATAGGGATGAACGTCATGTACACATAACAAATAAGTTCCAAGGTAAGAAAGAACAAAAAGATTAGAGAAGAGACATTTCAGGTGGGGGCTCTCTGCTTCCGGAACTAGACATATATGGTCTTAAGTGTTGTGTTAAGCATCAAGCATTTCCTGAGTCCAAGTTAGCCAATTTTAATGTAGGATATCATTATATGACACCTATAAGCTTGAGCCTTGGAATCAAGATAAATTCTATCACAGGTCCCGGGAGCCAGCTTACCTTTCAGTAGTAGTCACAGTATTTAAGCTACAAAAAAAGCATATACAGTATTTATAGAAAGTATATTCCCCAGGCTTTCAGGAAGATCTGACCAGTCCTTTGCTCACTTTGAGTGCTGCACACAGCTCATCTGTCAGTCTGGGGACACTAATTGTGGCTCCAGGTGACAGACACATGATACCTAGGTGGTCCTGCACTGCATAGACCATCATGCAGTCCTTAAGGTACACATCTTTACCTGTTGGTATTTATTATTTGTTTGCTAAATTTATTGTTGAAGCACAGGTTATTTCGACATGATTGTATCATAACAAGTTTTTTAGGTGCGGGGTTATTAATTAGACTTGTGCAAAAATGTTGGTTTTTTTTTTGCTCCACGGATTGAACTCTGAATCACAAAACAAACAATACTCTTTGTGCCTTGCCTGTTCCGTGATTAGCCCATGTAGTGTTGTGGAGTTTGGGATTTCTGATGAACTGCTGATCCCCCAAAATTTGTACAAATCCCAATTAAGGAGAAAGAAAGAATGAATGCACAAGTCTAGTATTCATCATTAACTTATCCCTAATTTACTCTAAGACTTGAAATCCCTTATGAATGACAGCATACAACAATTTATTCTTGAAGAGTCAAAATTTCACACATTGCTTGCCAGTTTATGAATTACTAGACAAACACCGTCATTCATAATATAAATTTATTTTTAGATGACATGTTTTGAAATATATGGATGTCATTGCTGTGCTAAAACTAACAGCCTGTTTCAATGTTCATATTTGTTTAAACGTACCTGTCAAGGGACACACACATTTTTTTAGTTTAAAAGTAGAATTGCAGAGATACATATAATGTGAGAGAAAAACTATTTAAAAATAGGCCCATCCTCACCTATCATTGAATTATTCAGCATTGTCACAACTACGGTAATTACTTGTCACTGGACGCTTGTGTCGTCCAGGAGGTAGGACCATGGGAATCCTGGAACATGCATTTCCAAGCAGTGGTGCTGCTGCTAAGACCAAAATACAGTTAAAAGAACAGCTCACACACAAACAAAAATACAGCTTTACATTTAACAAGGCTACTTAAAATCACCTATTTGAGTAAATACATATGGGGATTCAGTTCCACCAGTTCCTACACAATTTTAGCATGGGAGATTTACATGCTAACTTGCAATACTTACTTGCAGTATAAACAGATCCAAGAGACTCCTCAATTCCACCACTGCTTAGAAAGGTATGTTCTGGGTGTGCCCCCAACTCCAATTTCTTTTCTGTGTAGATTTGAAATCCAGACCAGATTCC